AGGATCTCCTCAATCCCGGTGCCATGTCTTCCGATGAGGAAGCAGAGGCTGAGGGCTCAGAGGTGGACTCGTCCATCACCCAAGCTGAAGTCACTGAGGTAGTCAAGAAGCTTCTTGGTGGCAAGGCGCCGGGGGTGGATGAGATCCGCCCTGAGTGCCTTAAGTCTCTGGATGTTGTTGGGCTGTCTTGGTTGACACGCCTCTGCAACGTCGCATTGCGGTTGGGGACAGTGCCTCTGGACTGGCACACCGGGGTGGTGGTCCCTCTTTTTAAGAAGGGGGACCGGAGGCTGTGTTCCAACTATAGGGGGATCACACTCCTCAGCCTCCCCGGGAAAGTCTATGCCAGGGTACTGGAGAGGAGAATTCGACCGATAGTCGAACCTCGGATTCAGGAGGAACAATGTGGTTTTCGTCCTGGCCGTGGAACACTGGACCAGCTCTATACCCTCTTCAGGGTGGCGGAGGGTTCATGGGAGTTTGCCCAACCAGTCCACATGTGTTTCGTGGATCTGGAGAAGGCATTCGACCGTGTCCCTCGCAGTGCCCTGTGGGGGGTGCTCTGGGAGTACGAGGTCCGGGGCCCTTTGCTAAGGGCCGTCCGGTCCCTGTACAACTGGAGCAGGAGCTTGGTTCGCATTGCCGGCAGTAAGTCAGACTCGTTTCCAGTGCATGTTGGACTCCGGCAGGGCTGCCCTTTGTCACTGGTTCTGTTCATTAATTTTATGGACAGAATTTCTAGGTGCAGCCAGGGGCTGGAAGGTGTCCGGATTGGGGACCACAAGATCTCTTCTCTGCTTTTTGCAGATGACGTTGTCCTGTTGGCCCCATCAAACCAGGACCTCCAGCGTGCACTGGGGCGGTTTGCAGCAGAGTGTGAAGAGGCTGGGATGAGAATCAGCACCTCCAAATCCGAGGCCATGGTTCTCAGTCGGAAAAGGGTGGCTTGTTCCCTTCAGGTTGGTGGAGAGTTCCTGCCTCAAGTGGAGGAGTTCAAGTATCTTGGGGTCTTGTTCACGAGTGAGGGAAGGATGGAACGGGAGATTGACAGGCGGATCGGTGCAGCTTCTGCAGTAATGCGGTCAATGTACTGGTCCGTCGTGGTGAAGAAGGAGCTGAGCTGTAAGGCGAAGCTCTCGATTTACTGCTCAATCTACGTTCCGACTCTCACCTATGGTCATGAGCTTTCGGTCATGACCGAAAGGGCAAGATCCCGGATACAGGTGGCCGAAATGAGCTTTCTCTGCAGGGTGGCCGGGCGCACCCTTAGAGATAGGGTGAGGAGCTCGGTCACCCGGGAGGAGCTCAGAGTAGAACCGCTGCTCCTACACATCGAGAGGAGCCAGCTGAGGTGGCTCGGGCATCTGTTTTGGATGCCTCCTGGGCGCCTTCCTAGGGAGGTGTTCCGGGCATGTCCCACCGGGAGGAGGCCCGGGGAAGACCCAGGACACGCTGGAGGGACTATGTCTCTCGGCTGGCCTGGGAACGCCTTCCCCCGGAGGAGCTGGAGGAAGTGTCTGGAGAGAGGGAAGTCTGGGCATCTTTGCTTAGACTGCTGCCCCCGTGACCCAGTCCCGTATAAGCGGAAGAAAATGGATGGATGGATGGATGGATGGATGAATTCATACCACAATATGTAGTAAAACATTTTTTCAAACACACTTTATTTCCTCTCTATTTGATGTTTATGTGATGTGCAGTAAGTGACATCTAGTCTTTCTCAAATCAGACCAAGTCCTTGTCACACCAGCGATTCACACACACACACACACACGAGACAAACTCACCTTTCGACACAGGTTGATCATCTGACATCTCTGTCCATCGCCTGTGTAACCTTCACTGCAGGCACAGGAGGTCTGCAAGGAACGTTGCATGGTGCTGTAAACACGTCAACATGTGCCAACAGCTGTATATCAGAGAGGTGGTCACTTTTTACTTTGTTTGGTCCGACATGAACACAGTCTGCGTTAGCGTGGCAGCCTCCGTTTCCTTCCAGACAGGGATTTATTTCTGTGAGAGAAACACAAAAGTCCTGCAGCACTCGAACACATCACAGGTTCATATCCACTTCACACAAGCAGATTTAATTTCTAACTTTGTGTCAGATATGTAATGCGTTGCACAATGACAGAAGTCATGGAAACTGCTGTTCAAATATGCACGGAAACAAGAAACAAGTCTGCGCAGCCCATAAACACATGGAGCACAGAGGAAAAGTTATAAGATTCTTTGCAGAATAAAGAGCGACCTACCGACACACACGAGCCCGTCACCAGAGTATCCGCTGTTACACACACAGTCTCTCTGGCCAGGCCGGGTCCTCTTACAGACAGCGTACAGACTGCAACTGCCATTGTCCAACAAACAGGGGTCTTTAGCTGCACAGAAAAACATCAGCGCCTGAGCTCAACCACCACCTGTACGCACACAAGATGCGCTCTGTAAAAGGCCCAACAGCAAACATTTCTCCTGAGGAGGCTGAGAGGCTTCCATGTCAGACACGTGGCAGACTAAGCGTTGTGCTCCTGACAGCCTGCAGACATCATCACTACGGACCCTCCACAGACCCCCATCACTCCTCTCAGGCAGTGGCTTCAGAGAGCCACTGGCCAGAAGGACAGCTTAGAAAAAGTCTTTCACCTGCTTCCTTTTTGAAACAAGGCCTCTTCCTGCAACTCAGCACACACGCCTTTAACTAAGTCATTTATGGAACCAGTGGTGGTTGAATGCCAGCTTTATGTGGGCGTTTCATGGGTGTAGGTCTTCATGTTTGTGAGCCTCTACCTCAGGACAAATTTCTATCATTATGTAACAAAGGTTTCTGAATTTAAAAATCATTACCATCAAAAGACATCACAAAGAAAAGTGAAGGTACAAATCACTGCTAGAATCTTTGTGTGTGTGCAGGTGAGAAGGAGGTCGTGCCCTAAACTCAGGTGTAACTGGCGTGGAGGCTTTTACCTTGACAGGCTGTCCCGTTTCCTTCGAACCCGGCAGCACAAAGACACTGAGGTCCGGATGGTCTGATCACACAGCTGTCAGAGGAGACAAGAAAGAAGACAAGTGACACATCCTGGGTGTGAGTCTGCAAGGAGGTTAGCATTAGCAACCTAGCTCATGTAAATTCTCTAGTCAAAGTTCAAATGTGTACCCAACATTAAACCATTTAGTACATGATGCACAACAACATGTCAATACTCTAAAGCCATGTCTGAGTAGTACTGGCTTTGTGTCAGTACTGAGACTACCTTCCTGCTCTGACGGCCTTCACATCATGATTTGACACAAACTCAGCCCGTGTGTATTGACCTACTTTGCACTGGTGTGACACTTCATTGAGCCGCACAGTTCACCGGCTTTGGATTGGATCTCTGCAACACAACCCACAGCTCAGAGACAAACAGACTCCGTCGTCACATTTAAACATGAAACAGAACATTAATGGGACAAAAAATGTAATATTTATCATTTAAAAAAATTATTAGATTTGTTTAGAATAAACAAGAACAATTTACTTTAGGTGAATATTCGTCAGTTGCTATTAGAATACTACTGTCATGTGTAATATTACTAATAGTAGAATAAAGCTGTAAGAAAACAATGTTCATAAGAAAACATGCCCAGTATCATGAAGACGGTCACAATATTATGCAAGTTAGGTCAAAATGTTACGAGAGAAAACGCAACATCAAGAATAAGAGTCAAGTAAAATCTTCACAACTGTTTCCTGAGTAAAAGTGATCAAGAACCAGCAGTGCTCAAAATGTCAAAACCTTTCTCTCATGAAGTCAAAAGTCTGGGAAATGTTACAATCATGAAGCTGTGAGGTGACTTTTTAATCATCAACTCACAACACACTCATTTGTGGAAAGCTCAGATTATTGAACCCTGTGCTCTGTTTCAGTTTGTGAGCATCTAATGTCGTACTTTCGTCACAGAGGACTCCTCTCCAGCCAACGTCACACACGCATGTGCCGTCGCCCTCCAGCCCATCACTGCAGCGGCCGTTTTTACAGCCGCAGTCTGCGAGGAGGGAAGCAACAGAGTTAATCTGAATCCATTTCTACTCGAGTCATCGTTTCCTGTGTGAGGTGCATTAACCTTGGTCACAGTGGACTCCGTACTTCCCGCTCAGGCAGGTTTCACAGGCCGTCCCGGTGAAGTCTTTGGTGCATCGACAGACTCCGGTTCCGTTTGTCCCGTCCAAACACATTCCATTACCAAAGCAGGGCTGACTCTTTGGCCCAGGACACGGTTCACAATGCTCCCCAAAAAACCCTGCACAACACCTGTGCACCTGCAAACAGGGGAGGCCATCAGCCTTTCACATTGACAGGGGAATCCTACCTGTACTCGTGCTGTCACAGCAGGTGTGACGTACA